ACAATATAATATAAAAAAATACAATTAAAACATATTATAAAATATAATATAAAATCCTATAAGATGTAATGTAAAAATCTTATATAACATAATGCTAAAAATACTGCGAAATGTAATGTGAAAAATACTGTAAGACGTAATATGAAAATTTCATGTCATAGGTAATGAAAGTTCAATATTGAATTATAGGGAAAAATGAAAAACGTTGCTATACGATTCGGTCTGGCCTTAAAAGGACAACATTTGTACTTCCAAAAGAACCTGTGATTGATGAAATAGTGATTGAAGAATATAATGACAAAAGAAGCAATGGATTAGTAGATATCAGGTGTATTAAAAGTAAATTGACGATAAATGATGACAAAAAGAAAAAGAATAGAATTATTAGTAAGGTAAATGAAAGAACGTCAATAGAAATGAACACAACGAAGAACATATACCTGATATTCAAATAGTGGATGAAGATCCAGAAGGTTACAGACGCAAATTCGATTGTATTGATAAAACCATTAAAAGTGAAGTTATAAATATGAAATTTGATGAATTGAATCAAAAGAATGAAGTTAAGATCAGAATCATACCTGAGGGCTCGCATAAAAAGAAGTCATTCGAACATCGTCAAAAATCAGTTGGTTACTATTATCAAAATAGAAATAGAACTGAAAAGGAAGATTATAAGGCATTTGAATATTGTGAGAATATTGTTGAATATGAACATTCTGATAGACAAAGTAACCCTAAACTCTGCTATGAAAATGGAATTGGAGATAAAAAGAATAAATATTGGGCATCTTTTTATTGCCAGAAAGTTGCCAATACGGGTAATAATAGTGTTGGCCATAAAACTTTCGATCTCAGATATAGCCATAAAAATAGAATCCAAGTTGATGATAATGGAACTTATGCTACCAAATATTGTCCTCAATATGGAATCAGAACTGAAAAAAATGATTATAAAGTGATGCTTATCAAAAGCCCAGAAATTTGGGTGGTGCTATGAAATATATTGTGATAGAGTTGGAGTAGAAAAAAACAAACATAACATATTTATTAACTATCAAAGAAACCCCAGGATATGACTTACTAAAAGAACACTTAATGCTGGTCACTATTTTCAGAAAATAGGAATCAGAAAAAATAAAATAAAGGATGGCAAAATTGAAGATAAATATGATGTGATCTATGATGTAACAAGTGCATATTTTAGTGATAATGAAGACTCAAAATGCGAAATTAATAAA